CAACAAAACATGTTGCCCATGGTGCCCAACAAGTACGGGTTCGTACAGAACTGGCGGAAGGGAAGATACCGCACACGCCAGTCTTCACTGGCCACCTGAGGGACGTCACGTGGCGTGGAGGGAGGGGCCGTGGAGGGAGAGCAAGACGGGGAAATCCCAGGTGAGGACTGGGGGGGGGAGGCGGCGGCAACCTCATAAGGCTTTCCCCGGCTAGCCATAAAACACACATATATAAAACATTCAACAGCTCTGCAGCCATCAGCCTTTTTTCCACGTAAATATGGTGTAACGTCTTACCTGCAGCTGGCGCCCCTTCTGAGTGCGAATGCACGAATTTGGCAATGAATGCATACTTCCCATGCGTGTCGTACACCATACTACCGTACTTCCGTACCTGTCTTGCGCGTAATCGTATCCGTTTGCCGCGCGGGCCCATGGATTTCGTGTGGAGGAAATGACGTAATAGGAGTTCCACATGGCGTCGTGGGTAAGTCCGCGCGCCTCCATCTCCTCCTCCGAAAATGGCTTCATACACATGACTTTCTGGGATTTGCACGCGGTCTTGAATGTGTCTAACACGGTCGTCGAGGCTGCTTTGCGGTTGCGGATGAAGATCAGCTTGTAGTCGTGGTTGACAAAGACGCCGCATCTGTAGGACATGGGCGCTGGCACCGTGACGTTCTCCCGGTAAACCACCTTGAGTAGTAGCCAGTCACGGAAGGCGCTCTGGTTAAAAAGCTTCTCGTCATAGCGTTCCGCGGGCAGAGGACCAGACTTCTTAACCTCGCCATAAACTTTGCTGGACACAGTGATGAGGTCGCTGTAGTAGTCCGATGGCGATTGCGGCAGCTCTATCGGAGGAAGGCCTTTCGATGCGCTTATAGTTGTAAGGAATGCGCTGATGATGGAGAGCAGCTGCCAGAGGGAGCTGTGCTACAGCCAGGGATGCGACCGTATTCCATATTAATACGCCAGCTAATACGCCCGTATTAATACGCCGAATACGCCAGCCAGTTGGGGCTGTTTATGCGTTGGCGTATTGTTGGCGTATTGTCGGCGTATTGTTTGTCGTTGGGTTGTCGTACAGTCTGAAAACTCGCCGATTTTGAGAAATATCGAGCTATTGACATTCCCGAGTCATTAGTGTCATTAGTTGATACTTAGGATTAGGTAATAGGTTCGCTTATCATTGGGTTTGCAACATACCGAAATGGAAAACGTGTGCGAAGCAAAACGCGCTAAACCGGGACCTAATTCCCCTGGTTCGACTGGACCAAGCAGCCGCTGGAGCTCAACCCTGGCCAGAAGGCGATGTCGTTCGCCGTGGGGGAGTGAGGAGGCTTTAGGGGGGTGTGGTCTGTCGTCTGTGGTGTTGGCCTGACACCCAAGCTTCGGCTTGTGGGACCGGCTGGTATGTACGGAAACTGGTACAGTACGGCAGCTTGCTGTACGGGATAAAACCTGTAACTCGGGGCGTTTCAGGTCGCGAGGGCCCCCCTCGAGGGAGAAGATGGGCTCTGTGGCATCTGAAACCCAGAACGTGTCACGCACGACACGACGCGTCGCTAAACACATGGCACGTGTCCGTGCCTACCCGCCCCACCTCATACGGCCACATTGGTTGCCCCCACGACAGGCCTGTACGACACCGTGGAGGGCCTGTCGTACTTTGTACGGTGCGCACCCTGCGCTGGAGCTTACGATGCTGACGTCCGCACAGCAGGGTTGCGTGTACGACGACGAGTGTTTAGAAGTACGGCCGGTCTGGAGGAACTCGCTGCTGTGGCAGGTACCCCCCTGGCTAAGTACGGCAGATCTGGCCGCGGGATCAGCGAGCGGTGGCGCCGCGGGGGCCCAACAGCGGTTTCGGAGCTCTGCATGTAATCCTGCGAACGTAACCGCAGCTCCGGAACCATTTGGCGACGATGGCGGCGACGGCGTGATCGGGCCGGAGGAGGGGGCCGATGGAGATTCGGATTGGATGCTCAACGCGCGGCCACGAAAGCGGAAGAGGCCGCGGCGACGTCAGGGGGGTGGAGCTCGCTTAGGCGAGGCACTAGGCATGGCTGGGGCTGGGGCCCCGCAACAAAGAATCGCAGCCGAGGACGGGGCTGAGGAGAGGCCGCTGCCGCCGCGGCGGCGGCGGCGGCGGCTGTACGACAGCAGCGGCGGAGGTGCCGACGTCGCTGTCACGAAGAATCCGGGGCAGCTCAATAGCAGCAGCAGTAGTGAGGATGAGGGCGAGGGCGGGGGAAAGGTGGGGGCAATGTCGTGCCTAGGCACACTGCCATCTTTGCATGCGCTCCGTGCCTCAATCCAGAGGGCTTCGGCGGCGGCGGCGGCCCTTCGTGCGGCGTACGACACTGTATCCGGAGGGAAAGAAGCGCCGCCATCGGTGTCGGAGGTGTCGTGGGATTTAGGATCCTGCAGTACGGCAAATACTACCGCCTGCGACGGCGGGGAGGAGGCGGAAGAGGGCCCGAAAAGAATGAGCGGCAGTAGCGGTGGCGATGGCAGCAGCAGTAGCAGCAAGGGTGGGGTCCCTGAGAGTGGTGGAGATAGCAGCAGCGATGCGAGTGACGGCGGAGGTACGCGGAGCGACACGGAGGGCAATGGCGATAGCAATGAGGGTGTGGCGGCGGCGGCGGCGGCGCTGGATCGCCGCCGCGGCCGCGGCCGTCCCGGGAGAAACGGCACAGTCTCCGCAGCTACTGCTACTGCAGCTGTTGCCGCAGCGGCGGCGGGAGCTGGTGGCGGGAGGCCGCACGGCAGTAGCAAGATACGGGGTGACCACCTGGATCTGTTTTCTGAATTGGATCGTTTGTTCATGGCCAGCGGCCCAGCGGAGCGTCGTCCAGCGGGGGTGTACGGAGTCGTACGACAGGGTCGCGCGGCATCAGGCGGAGGCGCTGCCGCCGCCAGGCGCAGCGGTCGTGTGCTGGCTGCAGCTGTCGGCGGCGGCGGTGGTGGCGGCGCGGCGGCGGCGCCGCTGCCGCCACCACCAGGACCTGCGGCAACTTTGACCTCGAAGGTGGCGCTGCGGTCGCAGGTTCTTGAGCGCCTTAGATCCGCGGTCACCGGTCATCACCTGGAAACCAGAGCTACGCTGCCGCCGCAAGGTGTACGGCGCACGGCGGCAGCAGCGGCGGCGGCGGCGGCAACCCCTAGCAGCACCGTCGCCGCCAGGCGGGTGACGCTGCCAGGGCTGCAGCAGCCGCCGCCGTCGTCAACGCGACAACCGCCGCCGCCGCTGCCACAACCGCCACCACAGCCAAGCAAGGCCACCCGGCCGCCAGACGACAACCCGCTTGCCTACCTCCTCTACCTGAAACACACCCGTCAGGCGGTGCTGGTAGTTGCCGCCGGCGACTTGGGTGCCGTACGGTCGCTGGCGGCTCACCCCGTGTCGAAGCTGCTGCGCCGAGCGCCGTCGGGGTTACTGCTCGCGGTAACGCACGTGGCGGCGGCGGAGGTGACGTGGCAGCGGCGGTACCGCCAGCTGGCGGAGCGGCAGCTGCCCGGGCCGCACGTGTGGCTCAAGCCTGCCGCCACCGCGGCGACGACGGCGGCGGCGGCGGCTGTGCCGCCGCCGCCGCTGGCAGGACTTGGCCATTTGGGTTCCGCTAGGGTGACGATGCGGCTCAACGCGGTGGCACCGGCCATCTTTCCGTTGCCGTACGAGCTGCGTGTACGGCAATGTGCGGCGGCGGCGCGACGTGGCGTGGCGAGTGAGGACGTTGGGGAACGTGGGGTGGACGCTGTGGACCGGCAGCTGGAGGACAACATTGCTGCTGCCGCCACCGCCACGGCGGCGGCAAGGGAACCGGCGGCGTTGCGCGAGGTGTTGTCAAATGCGGGCGACAAGCCTACAGAGCCCAGTCCCCAGCCGTTACACGGCCAGCGGCAACAGCCACCGCCGCCGCCACCAGCGCTGGCGGAGCCGGAAGATCGGCCTCAGCTGCAGCTCGTTGCGGAGCGTGATGAGCCGCGGGAGGGCACTGAACCAGCAGCTACAGCCACAACGGTGGTTGGTAACGGGCACGTGGCGGTGACGGCGGCGGCGGCGGCCGTACATCGACCGATGGGTCGCAAGGCCAATGGCGACCGCCATAGGGCTGCTGGGATCATCACGCAACGCCGCAACACGGTCAAAAGCCGTGTCGCGTCGCTGCTAGATACGCTGACGGCGACGTGCGTTGTCGTACAACATGGCGGCGGCTGTAGCGGCGGCGGCGGTGGCGTTGGCGGCACCGGAGGAAAATCCCGGGGCTTCTCAACTTCCAACACAGATGATGACAGCAGTAGCAGTAGCAGTAGCGGTAGCGGCGGAGAGCAAGAGAGGCAGCAGCAGATCCAGAAGGAGGAAAAGAAGCACGAGTGTCAGCGGCTGGTAGCGGCAGCGGTCCTGGTACATTGGTGGGATGACGGCCCGGGCGATGGCGGCGGTGGCGGCGGCAGGCTGGGAAACGACGCAGCGGCGGCGGCGGACTTGGTTCCGGAGCAGATGCTTCCGCCGGTGGCGGAGGTGCAGCGGAGGCTGTTGTTGGAGAGAAGAGATACCGGGTTGTTGCAGATGTTGCAGGTGGGCGCCTGTGTGTGGGTATGTATGTATGTATGTATGTATGTGAGATTGTTGGATGCGGGGATTGTATGTGAGGAGCAGCAGCAGCATGAGGAGGAGGAGGAGGGTGAGGCGGAGGAGGCCCAGTGCCCATGCTGTGTCCGCGTTGGTGTTGGCTGTAACGAGGTCGTTAAGGGGGCCGCAGGGTTTTCCGTTGGGTTGGTTGGTCGGTTGGTTGGTTAGGCGGGTTTTCGCTCTCTTCTCCACTTAGACACCATCCTAATGCTCACTTACCTTCGCCTCCCTTCCGCTCCCGCTCCGAAACCAACAAACGTCCCGGGCGGACCAACCGCTTCGCCATGGGCGCGTGGCTCAACATGCCGTACGTACACGTGCGTTTTTGTGTGCTCCATTCGACGTACAAGGCCCTCCGTCGTACATTCCCGCACCTGACACGCACGGCAATGGCTCAGCGATTCCTCCTCAACCAGCAGCCGCCCCGGCAGGGGGCGAGGGGTCCACAAGTCTCAAGCAGGGACATATCCCCGGAGGATATCACCCACCGGCGGATGGACCAGTCACCATCAGCAGCCTTCCAGCAGCAACAGCAGGTCTCGCAACATCATCAGCCGCAACACCAGCTGCAGCAGCAGCAACAGCAAACACATTTGCAGATGGAGCGGCACCAACAACATCATAATTACCAACAACATCATAATTACCAACCCGCCGGCCACTGGGCGAACGGCGGCGGAGGGGGACGTACGGCGGGTGGCAGCAGCAGCGGCGGCGGCGGCTTGACGGCAGAGGAGGAGCTAGCGGCAGCCGCGGCGGCGTACGGCACGCCGGAGCATACCGGCGGCGTCATGCGGCCGTCATACTCTTACGCATTGTACCCGGAGAATGAGCTCCGTGCCCTCCCGCCGGCCACACCCCCTGTCTTTGGCTGGCAGTGCGGCAGCAACGTCGGCGGCGGTGGCGCCGGCGGCGGCGACGCTGTACTGCATTCTCTGCGTCGAAATAGCGACGTGTACGGCAACCGACTGCACTCGCCGTGGCCAGCAGCTTCGCATGGCCCTCATGGCGCGTGGACCGGCCAACCAATACCGTTGCCGTGCTTAAAATCGCGTTAGGTCGCGTTAAACTCGCGTTAAATCCTCGTAACGCGAATTTAACGCGACGTAACGCGATCACCCGTTGTCATAGTGGTAGTACGGCACGCACTAATAATACATATACACGCTAAAGCGCAATTCCAGCATCTATAGAGGCCTTTCCAGCGGCCAGCTACTACAACATGCCACGTGGCATGCGCGAAGCTGACAGACGTTTGTAGCGGACCTAACAGGCTGGGGCCTTGGGCCCCATCGACAGTATCCTACTACGGCAGGAGTGCTAGAGATTCGTCCGGCAGGTAGGCCGAGATATGAGCTTCTTCACCCAGGCAGGATGCTCTAGCCAGACACTTAAGTATTACGACTACTTGGTGTTCGGAGGTCAAGACTCTGCTGCCGCCGGTCTAGTTATACTGTACCTGTTCTGTATTCTAGTGTCTGCTGCTGGGCTGGACTTCTTCCCGTCTCTTCGAAGGCGATCTGCTCTACACTTCCGCAAGGCCAGTCGTCTGTAAAGGTGAGTGACTGCTACACCTTGCCTTCCACTGCCGTGCCGCCCGGTGCACATGCTGCCACTGCCGCCAGCTGCGTAACTCATTGTTATTCTCCCATCACTACACTTGCCCTTGGGATGTCCTGGTTGGACGTCTGCATTGGCTTTCTGTCTATGTCGACCGCGGCCGTGTGTGAACTGTGTGGGAGCCTCTCCCAGTTCCATCCGTCACCAGCCGAAATGCTGTACCCCGCGAGTTGCGGTCAAAGCTGACCCTAAGTGTGCCTCCCCGCAGCCACCACCTCCATTCGAGTGCACCTTTACCGGTTCGGTGAGCTGTCTCGGCAGGCTCTCTCCTGGATTCTGCCGCCACTCAATTGTGGACTTGCTGGGCTATCGTGCAGCTGTAATGGTGCTCAACTTGCACCCTCGCTGCCTGGGCCTCCACCATGCTGCCTTCAGGCTGCACCACCTTCACATGCCTGAGCCTTCTTCAGTTAGACAGGCCTCCTCTGCGAGCTGCCTTCATCCACCGTCACTGCTACTCCAGTGCTGTCTTTCACAGGTGGAAGTTGCGACCTCACGATCGTGGCCTTTACACTGCTAATCACATACCCGTGAGCCAGTGTTTTTTTCCGTTTTGGGCCTAGTACCCTAGAGTAATAAACTGGGTGTTTCTTGCGGTTACTATTCCTATTTTAGTCGCTGGGGGGGGCTGCATGCCCCCCAGACCCCCCCCCTCAAAGGCCTTACGGTGTGCTGTAAGCAACACCTGACGTCTGGAAACACACATGCCGTACCACCATCGTTCTGTGCACCTAACTGCATTTGCGCCAGTGTCTCTGTGCAGGGCGTGGAGCCACTTTGACTGTCCATAAACGTCATGAGCACGCGAAGGCAAAGTTATATATATGTACACTGTCTTCCAGGCTCAGACCCCCACAGTC